CTCTCTCTCTCTCTCTCTCTGATAAATAAATAAAATCTTTTTAAAAAAGAATTTGGTAAGTATTTTTAAATGAGAGAAAACAAAAACATAACATTTGTGGGATGCCTCTAAAGCAGTACTTAGGGGGAAGTTTATAGCACTCAAAATCTGTATTAGAAAAGAATGGTCTCAGATCAGTGACTCAGGTTCAAATCTAAGAAGCTAGAAAAAAAAGAGCAAATTAAGCCCAAGGTAAGTAGAAGGAAGGGAATAATAAACGTAAGAGCAGAAATCAATGAAATAGCAAAAAAAAAAAAAAAAGAGAAAGAGAGAGAAAATCAGTGAAACCAAAAGCTGGTGCTTTGAAAAGACTAAATTCATTGAATTGCACACTTTTAATGGGTACATTTTATTGTCTGTAAATTATACCCAAAGAATGGACACTTCACAAAGGATGACATACGAATGGCCACTAAACACATGAAAAGATGCTCAACATCATTAATCATCAGTGACGTGCAAATTAAAACTATCATGAGATACTAGTACACACCCACAAGAATACCTGAGATTTTAAAAAATAACAATACCAAGTAGATATGAAGCAATAGGAACTCTCTTAAATTGCTGAGGGGAGTATAAAATGGTACAACCATTGTGGAAATCAGGCCATAGTTTCTCATAAAATTAAATACAAGCCAAAGTTTTGGCCCAGTAATTCCACTCCCAGGTATTTTTACCCAAGAGAAATGAAAACATATGCCCATAAAAAGCTTTGTACAAAAATATTCAGAGCAGTTTTATTTATAAAAACCCCAAACTAGAAATAGCCCCAGTGTCCAGCAACGGGTGAATAGATAAAGAAATTGTGGTATATCCATATAATGGACCAATGGTATATTAATACAATGGTATATTAATATACAATATAGTCTGTATCAATATGCAACATATACTATGGTATGTTGCAATAAACAGGAACAAACTACTGATATACCCGCTACAACATGGAGAACCTCAAAAGCATTATGCTAATTGAAAGAAACCAGACACAAAAGGCTAGATACTGTAATATTTCATTTATTTGAAATTCTCAAATAGGTAAAACTAACCTAATAGTGAAAAAAAGCAAGACGGTGGTAGTCAAGGGTGGGGCATGGGAGTAAACCTGGCTGCAAGACCCTTCAAGGTAACTTTTCGCCATGAGGCACATGGTGTAAATCGACTGCACGGGTGGCCTTACATACACAGCCACTCATAGGGCTCAGAACCTGGGAAAATGCATTTTAGGTGGCCCCTGTCTGTAGGCAATATTTGAATCATCCAAAATCAGTGTGTCAGTATCATTCTGGTGACCCAACTTCATGCAATTTTGTCTAAAAAATACTGCATTGCCACACAGCCCTCTTGGAACTAGGTACCAACCAGGAGTCCCATAGGTGAGAGTCCTGGAGTTATCTGGAACACCTGGTGGGCCCCAAGCATGGTGGGGGAGGCGTCTAGAGGTTCAAAGAGTGCCTTGAAGGGAAGAAACATGGATCATGTCCCCTTGTCAACCTGGGACCCACTCTGTACTCTGGAAAGCCCCCCCTGATGGTATTGCTGGCCCTGCCTGCTCCCAGGAACTAAAAGGGAACTTTGACAATTTTAAGGAAGGCGTTACAAAGCACAGGACACACACACCCCCACCCCCACGCCCAGATGTAGGCCACAGGGCAGGAGCTCCATTTGCCCAGGCCTAAGGTGGTACTGATTACCTAATCTGAAAATTACCTAATACCTAAGTATATGTATTTGTCAAAACTCATCGAACTGTACACTTACAATAGGTTCACTTAACTATCTGTACTATACCTCAATAAAGCTGAGAATAATACTAACAATAAAAAAAAAAAACCCTCTATCTCAGATTCCCAAGACCCACTTCAGATAAAATCAGGTTGTTTTTTGTCTGGATACTCTGGGAAACCCTTATCTTTGGTTCTCATTTACCTATAGGATCATGTCTAAGTCCCTTAGGTTGGCATACAGTGCACTTCCTAACCCAGTCCTGACCTATCCCATCAGCTTCAGCTCCGGATACTCCTTTTCCTGCCCCATACTCCAGAAACACTGAACTTCAAACCAATTCCTATCACTGAACTTTGAACCAATCCCAATCACTCTCCTTTGCAAATTTGTACCTCTACATATTAGATTTCCCCTGCTTTAAATGTTCTTTTTTTAATAAGATTTTATTTATTTATTTGACAGAGAGAGACACAGCGAGAGAGGGAACACAAGCAGGGGGAGTGGGAGAGGGAGAAGCAGGCTTCCTGCAGAGCAGGGAGCCCAATGCGGGGCTCGATCCCAGGACCCTGGGATCATGACCTGAGCTGAAGGCAGACGCTTAACGACTGAGCCACCCAGGTGCCCCTTGAAATGTTCTTCTAGAGCCGCGTCTAGAGGCATGTCTTCTCCATCCAAGGAATTCTTTCAAGGTCCATCTGCCATGTCACTTTTTTCTGTGGAGACTTCCCTAACCCCCAAACAGTGCTGGATGATCCCTCCGGTACCGCCACAAGTCTTGGGACAGTTTTTATGACTATGACTCTTGTCAACAATGGACTTTCAGCACCTGTCTTGGGGTTTTTCCCATACCAAATTGCAAATTCCTCCAGGGCAGAGACCATACCTTCTTCCACCCAGCACCTAGCACAGTGCCTCTCCCGCCATAGACTCTCAATACAAACTGCTGAATGAGTGAGTGGATCAATGAGCCAATGATTGAATCTGTTCCCTTTTGTGACTCTTCAATGGGAGGCTTTGTTGGACAGTGTCTTCACCACAAAGAGTGACCTTTAAGCAAGAAATTTTAAGAGCTGACCCAGTCCAGGTAGGAGGATTATTTGGCCAAGGGTCCATTTTAACCCCTCAGATGATGTCGGTGACATTTTTCAGGTGGCCCAGGACCTGTATTTGTGAGATGGCCAGCATTTGTTAGATACCCACTGTCATCACCGTCATCGTCATCTATCCTTTAGTGGGTCCTTGTTATGTGTCAGGTGCTGACACTTCTTTATATTACCTCATTTAACCTGCACAAGACCTCTGGGAGAAAGATGCTGTTGGGTTGAATCAATAGGAAATTGGCAATATTCAACCTTTCTTAACTTACAAAATAGCATTTTTGTATGGTTCAACCTGATATTACTATTCCTTTTTTGGAGCTGAGGAAACCGAGGTTCAAGGTGAAGTCCCTCACATACGTTTGATTATCTAGTGAGTGGCTGAGCCCAGAGTTGAATGTCCATGCATCTGACTCCAGAGGCCCGGCTTTCTCCCTCACACTGCTCGCTTCCATCAGCTGTGAAATTCCTGCTTTGTCAGTCCACAGAAGCCAAGATGTCAGACAGGGTGGACCTGGCTAGGGTTTCAAACCCTCTCTTGCAGGAGGGATGAGCTGGCTTGGCCTGCAAATGTTAGCCTTTTAGTGGTCATGTTTTCAATTTCTTTTCATTCGCTCTGTCCTCTAGAAATCCATCTCCTCCACCGTGTGTGCATGTGCGCACGTGCGCACTCTCTCGCGCTCTCTCTCTTTGTCTCTCCCTGTCTCTCTCCCTGTCTCCCTGTCTCTCTCCCTGTCTCCTCCCCCTGCCCCCTCCCTCTCTCTCCCTCAAGTGAAGAGCCAAGCAGCTGACTCACACACCACACCACAGTTGCCCTGACTTTGTTCACGTAGGCTCAGCCTCTGGAGACCCCCCACTAGCCTCAGCACTGTCATTTGGCACCCAGAGAAGCCACTGCATTTTCCCCTCCATGTGGAGATGGCTGGACTGAGTGCTCTTGCCCTGGGGAAAACAACCACAAGAGGCTGGCAGCAGCTCAAGTCTGAGGTCAAATGTGATACCCGGCATCTGAAAAAGCATAGGCAGCAGTCGGGGAAGTCCAATTAGCTGAGACTTTGGGCCTTGGGCAGAATCAGCAGCAGGCGATACAGACCTCAATCCCACCAACATCTCCCCTGCTCACTTGCTGAGCCCTGTGAGCCACCTGCTGGAACCATAGGCTTGGCAGAGTGTTGGGGGCTGGGAAGGGAGGAGACCTGGTACAGAAGGCAAGGATACCCGCCCTGCCCCCCAAGAGAGGCTCACGATGATCCCAGGTCCTGGTGTGATAACAATGACCGAGCATTGCCTGGCATGGAGTTGGGTAAAGAATGGAGACCAGGGCACTGTAGACTTGGGCAGAGCCTCACACATCAGGTGTGCACGAGAGGCCAGGCTGGGAGTTCAGGCAGACCTCCATGATGTTCCATCTTGAGATGAATGCTGGTGGTTGGTGGGAGGAGTCAGGCTGGCTGGGAGGTGGTCTGGGACTTCAAGCCCCGGGCCACAGCAGGAGAGAGGAAACCAAAAGGGTTACCTCCAAGAACCTTAGAAGCCTCTGGCCTTTCCTGGTATAACTAGAAAGAGAAGCAGGCTGCCCCCGGGATCTTAATGAAATATAGTTCAAAGGCTTGTCTTCCTGTTTCTTCTCTCATGTGGGGGCTGCCCGAGATGCCCCAAAACATCCTGGGCCCAAAGTTAGGAGGCCTGGATTCCAGTCCCATCCTTGCTTCCTGGAGCCTTCCCCTTTCTGGGCTTCAGTGTCCGCATCCGTATCGGTGATGAGGCAGGATAGGTAGAGTGAAGTTACAGTTTTCAAACTTTTTCCGTTTGGAGCACTTTCTTGCAACCAGGTCTGAGGTGGCAGCTCAACATGTGAGGCAGATGAAAACAGTGCTGCTCAAGTCCCTTCCCCTCCCCAGGGGTTTCCCCAGAACCTTCAAGGCACCTCAGATCGCTGGGTTAAGGGTTTTTTTTTTTTTAATTTAAATTCAGTGAATTAACATATAGCATATTATTAATTTCAGAGGTTGAGTTCAGTGATTCATCAGTTGCATATCACACCCAGTGCTCCTCACACCACGTGCCCTCCTTAATGCCCCTCACCTGGTTACCCCCTCCCCCAAACCCTCTCCTCTCTGAAACCCTCAGTTTGTTTCTTAGAGTTAAGGATCTCTTATGGGTCGCCTCCCTCTCTGATTCCATCTTAAAGGGTTTTAAAGATCACCGGGTTAGGGCAGTGGTCCTGTCTTGAGCCTGCACCAGCATCCCCTGGAGGGCCAGATTGTTGGGCCCACCCCCCGGGGTTTCTGATTTTGTGCATATGGGATGGGGCTGAGAATCTGCATTTCTAACAAGTTCCCAGGTGATGTTGATGTCACTTGTCCAGAGACCACACTGTGAGGACCACTGGGCCATATTACAGCTACAGGCCTTTCTATGATTCATGCCAAATCACTCAATATTTACGTTAATCTACCTCAGACATATTTCTATGATATTCAAGCGTGGGAGAGCACGTGGCATTGTGCCTGGCACAGAGTTCTCAGTCAGAGCTGGTGGGATCTAATTCCAAATGCCCTGCCTAGAAGTCTCTTTAAGTGTAAAGCCAGCTAGTGACTGGTCAAGGGATAGACAGAGGCAGAAGCTTTTCCTTTAATGAATTTACAGTCTGTCAGGTCCCTTTACCCCCCAGGAAATAACACCCCCGCACTAATTCCACCAATAGAGGTTATTTCATGTTAAGCATTATCCTTTCCAGACGTTCTCTTTTTTCCATGGAAACTCCCTAGCAAAGAGGTAACAGTTTGGTCCCTGACCCCTCTGTGGTTCTATCCTCTCTGAGTTCTTCCAGGCCAACGACCTTACCTGCACCATTCTTCCCAGCATCCCCCATGGCTCCTAGCCCACTACCAGGCAGAGAAGGCACTTGCTACGAGTTTGCCAAATCGAATAAAGGAAGCACTGGGGCCCCAACGGGACTCCCCACACACACCCATGCAGGCCACCAATCCTCTTATCGTGCCTGGCTCAAAGTCCCCAGTCCCAGCCTCTGGTCAAGGCTGCTCACTTGGGGATGTTGGAAAGCAGGAAATGGGGCGGGGAGATGCTTCTCCAGCCACATTCACCTGGCACTGCCGCTCCCGGGGGGTTTTGTGAACTAGCTCCAGGAATGTATGGGGCCTCCCGGTCCCCACATCCTCCTCTTCAGCCTTGCCACTTTCTTAAATAAATTGGCACTGACCCTGATGACAGACTTGATCATTTCCTTTTGCTTCGTGATTGTGTTAAGTGACTGCCAAAGTCCTGTTCCTGAATAGTCAGCACATTCCTCAGGACAGCGAGTGGGAGCCCATCTGCTTCCTTTCCTTTATTGTGCTATTTTAGCTTCAATTTCCCATTTGGACAGGAGCGTCTTCCAGCCAGGGGTGGGGAAGGGGAGAGGGTGGGGAGGAGTGCCACAGCTTTCCTTCATTTTTTCATTCATCTTCCGGTTTCTCTGGAAATAAATCAACAATAATCATCCTACGTGCCAGGCACTACTCTAAGCTCTCTACACGTTGCTTAATCCTGATAACACCACGGTGAAGAAGGTACGACTATGATCTCCATTTCCCATGTGGGGAAACTGAGGCACAGAGAGACAAAATGTCCTGCCCAAGGTCGCACAATATGTGCTAGAGCTGGGATTGAGCCCAGGCAGGTCTGGCTCTGGAGGCTGGGCTCTTCCCCATCGGCTCTACCACCTTGCAGGGCTTGGATTCTTGAGGCTCTCGACCCGGGCCCAGTGATATCTGAGGCCATGGCCTCTTGCCCTCTTCAATGTCTGTCAGCAGGACCTAAGGTCACATGCATTAAAAATGGAATTCCTTGCATAGCACAAGGTGTACCCCACCCCTTGCCCATGACCCACTCATCTAGTGTCTAAACTCCCAGATCCTAGGCCAACAGGAGAATGTGGACTCTACCTTAGGGTTAGTTGCATGGGGCTGATGTAATACTGCAAAATGGCTTTGGGAATCCAGTACTCACTGTGTGCTCTTCTCTTCAGACATCACCTCAACGTCCCACGGGAACCCTCAAGCAGGTTTCAGGGAGGAACTGAGGCTCACGGAGCTCCCAGGCGACCACAGACCCACCACTCACACACTTTGTTGCTATGTTAGATATTAAATAAGTAAGTTGCATTCACTGAGTGTCGGGTGGTACCTAAACATCCTCCTGCATTGATTCATTCAATCTTCACAAGAACCCTATGAAGTGGGTACAATGATTACCCCTAGTTCCCTATTTCACAGATGAGGAAGCTGAGGCATGGTCACACAGTCAAGAAGTGGTAGATCTAGGATTTGAACCCAGACTGTTAACTTACACCGTTGGACCCCTGGTGTATGGTCTTAACCACTACACTAAGCTACCTCCTGGCATTGAGGCCACCTCAGGGCCCTTGAGGGGTCATGTTACCATAACCCCCTCCACCTCTTCTTCTCCATCCCTCCCTGCTCTCCCAGGTATATTTCCAAATAACCATAACTGGAGGCTCTGGAGTCAGACAATCTGGGGTTCAAATTGCAGCTCTGCAATTCACTGGCCCTGTGACCTCTCTCTCTCTCTCTGTGCCTCAGTTTCCTGACCTGTAACACAGGGATAATAATGGTAATGACCTCATAGGGTGGTTGCAGGCCTTTAGGTCAAATCGGGTAGATTCTCCCAGCCCCACCACCACCTCCTCTTCTCCAGGCCAGCTTCAGCGTCCTGCGGGGGGAAGTGGTGCTTCACGCCCTTGCACTTATCAGTCTCACCCTCCGTGTCTGTCTCTTCCTGTCCCAAATGAAAGACAGCCTTCAGTTACAGATTCCCTAGGCTTTTCAAAAAAATCTGTGATTACAATTCCTCCCAGAAGATCAGAGAAACCCATTTCCCTAGCAGTCTAAGCAGGAATTCTATTGTCGTTTGGTTACTCAAACATGGCCAAGGTGGCCCAGCCCATCTCCTTTCCTCCCCGCCCTTAGTATAGGGAAAGAAGAGACACTTCACTGAAGCATACTCAGCTGCATGTCATGGCCAGAGTCTCCCAGGGAGAAATTCACAGCAAAGAAAGACATCCCTTTCAACCATCTATTTGGAATCCAAGAATGCCTTGCTGTGGAAGCGAGCTTCTCCTTTTTGCCTTCTTTACAGAAAGTATATAAGTACTGGGCGGGGAATATGAATTATCCAGTAACTTCTTCCACCTTCCTCAATGTCTTTGTCCTATAATTCTAGTCTTCTCTAGTTGTCTAGTTGTCTAGTGTCTAGTTGTCTAGTTGTCTTTAGCTCAGTGCGTAGAGCACAGGGCTACCTATAAGCAGCAAGACAGTCAGGATTAGAAACGGAAAGCCCCTTCACTTAGTTCTTCATTCCCAGTCGGAGCCCTGACCCTGGTCTCTGACTGTCCTTAATCTTTTTCACGGGCTGAGTACACGATTGCAGGGTGAGGCAACTCAGACCTAGAGAGATAAAGCAACTTGGGCTGCATCACACAGAAGCAATCCTCCAGTCCAGTCATATCCCGACCATGAACCTTCAGCCCATGTTTTTTAGCCACAGAGGACAGACTGCAAGCATGTGGATGTAAAGTGCAAAGGGATCCCTAAGTCTAAAGTTCCAACTCAAGAACAGGTGAGTGGACAGCTCATTTTTTTCTCCGAGGGAGAGCCCACTGCTCCAGTCTTCCTAGAGTGCTGGGGATGTTAAAAAGAATTCTTGCCTAGGGAGAATGATTTGAATGATGAAAGAAATCAATAAATTGTTACTGAATGTAGTCCAACCTCACTTACTCAAACTAATGGAGGTAGCCCTTCAAATTAGTGAGCCATTTGTATTGTAGGTTACTTGTAAAGAAATGAAGTTTTATTGCTTTGAATAATTCACAGTTACTCCAAGTAGGCTAACAAATTGTAGCCTAATCGAGACTTGCCTTAATGAAAAAAAAAAAAAAAAAAAAGAATCCCCAGCATCAATCAGTTGTATGTAAATGGTGCTTCCAAAAGAGTGATAAGATTTGTTGCCTAGAGTATGGAAATACAGTGCATGGAGTCCATTTATTCAGATGGCTCTTTCTGCCAAGAGTGGGCAAAGTAGGGCCAGGTAGGGCCCAAGACTAGTCACGGTACTCATGGAGTGTCTTCTAAATGAGGTTTAACTGAAAAAGGAAATGATCAGAGAGTGACCTTAGATGTAGCAGGTGCAATCTGTCTACTGATGGAATAAAAGATGGTTTTGGAATACTGTCACTTCCTTTCATTTTTTTTTTCCTAAGAAGACATTAGACCAAAAAAACGAGAAGTTGCCAAGGCAAGTCTAGTACCTCCGTGTTTTGTCAAAACCCGGAACAAACATTAAGGGGAAAAAAAATCTGAAGGTCGCGGAAGGGAAATAAACAAGAAGAGTAAGTAAAGCATGAATCATCCATTACCACCTGATGGCTCCTTAAAAATAAAAATAAAACCTTGGAAGGAAATAAAGTCCATGCCACAGTTTGGCATTTTGCTAGAGGACCTGGCACAGACTCTGTGCTTTTTTATTTCACAGAAGGAATTGGCCTTTGGCTTCTGACTTGGATTGCCTTTTTCCTCCTTCTGACTTGGATTGCCTTAACCCTTTTCCTCACAGAGCTCAGGGTTAGGGGATGCTTGCCTAGCACTGGCACCCACTTCTCTCTTGGACACTCGGAGGGAAGATAGAAGAAGTGCATTTTATCTGCATGTATTAAATTACTTTCGCCTCATTTCCCAAAAGCTTGGAAGTGGCTTACAACAATAAAAAATGATAAAATAGAAACAGAGAGTCATGACCAGGAGAAATATCAATAGAACTTTTAAAAATCAAGTGTAAAAAAACTTCAAAGGCCATATAGAGGTGAACTACAGGGAGCTAAACAAAACAAAACAAAACAACCCAAAAAACAAAAGCAGAATTGCGATTCAACCTAGCTCAGTCCAATGGACCATCTCCTGAAAGAACACAGGCTCCCCAGATGGACCTATTTATAAGTGTGATCTTGGGCCAGATATCTAACTTCTCTGAGCCTCAGTTCCTCATCTGAATGGTGGACCGAATAATAGATATTATCTATTCTGTAGATTGTTATGAGGATTCCATGTCTGTAAACCATTGATCCCCACTATCTGGCAGAGATAGTAATGGTAGTATAGATATGAGAATTGATATGAAGACAACTTCATTATGTGATACAAAGCATTTGCCCATGATGGTATCTTGTTTGATCCTCACACCAGCCAGGATTTGGGCCCACGATTATAGGGAACGAAGAGTGGAGTAAAGGGGGCAGTCTTTACTGGAAAGCTTCCAGCAGGAGGTGGTATTCTAGTTGGATCTTCTGAAGGACAGGTAGGACTTGAGGAGATGGAGCTAAAGTACAGATTAAGAATGAGATGGCAGTGTATAGGAACAGTAGGAAGACCCTCCCTACTAGAGCAGAGGGACAGGTAGGAAATAAGGGTAGGGAGGGGAAGATAGGGCAAGATGGGCTTATGGAATTGCTTGGCTCTAGCCAGATGGTGAAGGAATTTGGGCCGCATTTGACAGGAAATGGAGAGTCATTGAAGGATTCTGAGCAGGTTGAGCAGGGGAAGGATGTGACATGTTGAAAGGGATGTTTTCGAAGGTGGAGTCAGTCTGCTGCTGTCTGCTATGTGCAGGCTGGGGTGGGGGGTTGGGAGGAGGCAGAGACTGGCAGACCAGCTGCAGTGACCCAAGGAAGGGACAGATGGTGAGAGCTCGAGCTAAAGCAACAGGGATGGAGAAGACAGGAGATTGCACAAAGGAACACCTGAGAGGCAACGATTTGCAATGGATGCACTTTCCTTCTAGACTCAGACTGTGCATACCTTGTTCATCCCTGCGTCCACCAGGGTTTAGCATAGTGTTTGACACATAGTAGGTGCTCGGGGAGTGCTGAATGAATGTATTCACGCATGCCTCCGTGCAGACAAACACTGAATAAGAATAAGAATGGTTGCTCGGTCAACAATAAGCAATAGTACAAGGAAAACAAAATAGAGGACTGCCCCCAAAATCTCATTGCCTTAACTTTCTTTCACTGTCCCTGGAACTACACTGACAGTCTGGGGTAGGAAGGCAGCCCAGAAAAGAGCCAGAGCAGGCTGGGAAAGATGACCCCTAAAGCAGAACACAGATAGGCACGAATGCTCTGTAGGAAGCTCATCCCTTGGATAGTTCACACAATACAGGAACACCCCAAAGCGGGTAAATTATGGATGAGAGGAGGCTTTCTTTAAATGGGGATATTTACCTTACAAAAGAATTAACTGAGAATCCATTTGAAGCAGCAAACTGCTTTGCTTTTTCATATATAATTTGGGACCAGGATTTGACTTACTGAAACTGTGTTTCCATCCAACATAAAGTACAGTGATGATTTAAAAAAAAAAAAAAAAAAACCACCTGATTTGGGAGTCCAGAGACCTAATCTTGGGTCTAGGCTGGTAGCAGAGAATACGGTGGTTAATAGCATAGGTGCTGGAGTCAGGCTGGGTTTATATCCTCGTGCACCTTGGACAAGTGGCTTAACCTTTCTCAGCTGCTGTTTCCTCATTTGTAAAATGTGTTGATACAACATCCGATTCTGCCCCATAAGGTTATTGTGAGGACTAAGTGGGGGTAATGTATGTAATGTGTTCAGCAGTACCCATAAGGTTTCAGTAAGTGTTGACTTTTACTTTGAATCCTAACTATATGACCTTAGGCAAGTCATTTCTCCTCCCCTGGGCCTTGGATTCCTCCTGAGCCTCAGGCTTTTTTCATTTGGACCTTAGGAACATATTCCTTACCTGTATCACAAATTCATCATCTAACACACATAAGGGTATCCACCCTCTAGGGTCCCCAGTTGATAACTCTGCCCTTAGAAGGACCATTGGGACTCCAAGAAAAGAGAGAAGGCCCAAACACACACAAGACCAGGATAGATGTATTTTCTTTAATATACTTTGTAAATATCGCAACTCAGTCAGCTATCACCCCTAAATTCTAGCCCCTTCTGCCCCTCCCAAGCCGCCCTACTTCCTTAATCATCTTCATCCCAGGCCCCAAGGAAGAGGAAGCCGAAGAGTACTCCTCTGCTCTGGACAGCTTCCCTAGCCCACCCTGCATTTGGAATTAGGACCCCAAGTTCTTCCTTTAGGTTTGTCTTCCCCACCCCCACCCCCACGCCAACCCAGGGAACTGCAATCACATCAACCTCTGCTGCCCTCTGCTGTCTGGATCCAGATGTGCTGGCTCCAGTTAGGTTAAGTCAGCATCCATGCACCTACCAGTTTCTCTAGCCCCTATCCGCCTCCCTGACCTTAGGGATAAAATGCAGTGTCTTCTGCACCACCCACACTCTCCCCTAATCAACACAAATACACACACAGTCGTCCCTATTCGGACCCAACATATCAAAGCCACAGCTGGTGTGGTCTGTGAGTGTGGAGCTGTCGTCTTCAGCAAAGAAGGTGAGCTGCTAGAGCCAGCCAGATTCTAAGTCTCCTTCTTAAACATTCCCCAATCATTTATTGAGCATTTGCTGTGTACAGGGCACTATGCTAAGTGTTGCACGTGCATTATCTTACTGAATCCTGGCAACGACCTTGCAAGTAGGGAAAATTATTATTATCCCCATCTTACAGATGAACTGAGACTCAGAGAAGTGAATGTCTTGCCTAAGGTCACAAAGCTAGTGAGTGGCAATTGTCACAGACCCTGGCTGGTTTGTCTGCCTCCGTTCTCGTGTTACAAAACTAGCCCCTGTACCGTGGCCAGTGGTGAAGACGTAGACTTTGGAGCTAGAGGGATCTGGCTGGCTCGAGCAGCTCACCTTCTTCAGCGAAGCCAACAGCTCCACACTCACGGACCACACCAGCTGTGCTTCGGTATGGTGAGTCTGAATGGGAAAGACTGTGTGTGCACTTGTGTTGATTAGGGGGAGAATGCAGGTGTGGAAGACACCCACAATGACCTTTAGATATACTTACGAGGTGAATATGACAAAATATGTCAATCAATTGCAAGTGAAGACAGGAGAGAGGGAAGAGTCTGAAATAACTCTCAGGATTCTGGCTCAGACAACTGGGTGGATAGGGACGCCCATCACTGAGATAGGAACAGCGGAGATGATTGGATGAGGAACATGATGGGCTGCGGGAGAAATGAAGAGATCGTTTTGGCCATGGTGAGCGTGAGATATCCAGGTGGAGGTGGTCAGCGGGCATTTGGTTTTACAAGTCGAGAGCTCAGGAAAGAGGTCCGGGTTGGCATCACCATGTAGATGGGAGATTTTCCAGGGAGAGTGAGATGGAGGGCCAAGGCCAGAGCATCCACATTTGAGGGGAAGGTAGAATAAAAGAAGTGTAGGTAGGGGACTAAGAAGCAGCGCCACGGATAGAGGAAGAAAACCCAGGAAAAACTGTCAAGGAAGTCAGTGAAAGAGAAAGTTTCAAGGAGGGAACAGTCCTACCAGATCATCTACCACAGAGAGGTCAGTGCGCTCAAAATGGTCCTTTAGATTTTGTCATTAGAAGACTGTTCTGTTTATCTATTGCTATATAAAAGAAAAAAGTCACCTTAAAACCTAGTGGCTTCAAACAACAAAACTCTGTGTATTATTCTATTATCTCTCATGGTTTTTATGGGTTAGGAATTTGGGGGACTAGACAGTCTGGCTCAGGGTCTCTCACATAGTTAGGTGTAAGTGAGAGTGGCCCGAGCTGGAACACTATGGGGAGGGAGGTGGCTGGAGCAGCTGGGAGCTGCCTGAACATCTCTCTCTCTCTCTCTCTCTCTCTCTCTCTCCAGATGGTCTCAGGGCCTCTCCAAAATGCCTCCCAAATGGGCTACTTTGAGCTTCCTCATAGCCTAGAGGTCTCAGGGTAGGTGGACTGCTTACACAGCAGCTGAAGGCTTTGCAGGTGAGGATCTCATGTTTCCATACACCAACAACAAACAAGCCACAAAGAACTTAAGAAAACAATTTCATTTATAATAGCATGAGAATAAGATCTCTATCAATAAATATATAAACAAGGAAGTGAAACTCTTTCTTTTTTAAAGATTTTATTTATTTATTTGAGAGAGAGAATGAGAGATAGAGAGCACGAGAGGGAAGAGGGTCAGAGGGAGAAGCAGACTCCCCGCTGAGCAGGGAGCCCGATGTGAGACTCGATCCCGGGACTCCAGGATCATGGCCTGAGCCGAAGGCAGTTGCCCAACCAACTGAGCCACCCAGGCGCCCGGAAGTGAAATTCTTATATACTGGAAAGTACAAAACATCGCTTACCAAAACAAATGAAAGAAGGCCTTGGAAAGACATCCTTTGCTCGTGGACTGGAAGACTTAATGTTGTGAAGATGGTAGTATTGCCCAAAGTGAGCTAAAAATCCAATGCAATCCCTATCAAAATTCCAATGGCGTTTTTGTGCAGAAAAGGAAGCTGAGCATCTAATTCATGTGAAATTACAAGGGGGTTTGATGGCCCAAACAATTTTGAAAAAGAAGAATAACGCTGTAGGACTCACACTTTCTGGTTTCAAAGCTTACCACAAAGCTACAGTAACCAAAACAGTGTGGTACTGGAATAAAGACAGACAGAAAAGCCAATGCAATAGAACAGAGTCCAGAAATAAACCCTAACACTTATCGCCAATTGATTTCTGACAAGGGTGCTCAGGTCATTATACAAAAATTAACTCAAAATGAGCCAATGACCTAAATATAAGAGAAAAAAAATTATAAAACCCTTAGAAGAAAGCATGGAGGTAAATCTTTATGACCTTGGATTTGGCAAAGGGTTCTTAGATATGACACCAAAAGCCAAGCAACAAAAGAACAAAAAATAGATAAACCGGATTTCATCAAAATGATAAACTTTTGTTCATCAAAGGGCATTATCAAGAAAGTGAAAAGATAACCTACAGAATGGGAAAAGATATTTGAAAACCATGTCTCTGATAAGGGCTTAGTGTCCAGGATATATAAATAACTCTCACAAATCAAACCAATTTTAAAACGGGCAAGGGACTTGAATAAACATTTCTCCAAAGAAGATAGCCAAATGGCCAAAAAGGGCATGAAAAGATGCTCAGCATTATTAATCCTTAAGAAAATTCAAATCATAACCATGAGATACCACTTCATACCTATTAAGTATGGCTATCGTTTAAAAAAAAAAGGAAAATAACAAGCATTAGCAAGGCCATGGAAAAATTGAAGCCCTTGTACACTGCTGGTAGGAATGTAAAATGGTGTGGAAAATAGTTCAGTGATTCTTCAAAAAGTTAAACATAGAATTACCCAATGATCTAGCAATTCCACTTCTAGGTATATACTCCAAAGAATTGAAAACAGATGTTAAAACAAAAACTCATACATGAATGTTCATAGCAGCACTCTTCACAATGGCCAAAAGGTGGAAACAGCCTAAATTTCCATCAGTGGATGAATGGGTGAACAAATTGTGATATATCCATACAACGGCATATGATTCAGCCGTAAAAAGAATGAAGTACTGAAACATGGGTGAACCTTGAAGACATTACTCCAGGTGAAAGAAGCCAGAAAGGAAAGGTCACATAGTGTATGATTCCACGTATTCTGACGTGTCCAGAATAGGTAATTCTACAGAAACAGAAGGTAGATTAGTCGCTGCCAGGGGCAGGGAGAAGGGGGAGGAAATGAGTACGGGGTTTCATTGTGGAGTGATGGAAATGTTTTGGAACTACACAGGGGTGGTGGTTGTACAACATTGTGAATTTATTAAATGTCACTGAATTGTTCACTTTAAAATGGCTGATTTTATGTTATGTAAATTTCACCTCTTTTTTTTTTTTTTAAGAAAAAGGAGTATTTTGGCAAGCAAGGCAGGAACTGTACCGACTTTTCTGATCTAGCCTCAGAAGCCACATGGTGTCACTTTCACCATATGTTATTAGTCAAGACAGTCACAAAAATCCACCCAGCTTCAAAGGGAGTAGACATAGTCCCCCACTCCCAAGGGGAGAACACCTCAAAGGTCATTGCTGACTCTAACTAGAGCACCTGTGGTGGAGTCATAGGGGCTGAAATCAGGCCACGGTGGGTGAGGGTGAGGGTGGAAAACTTGACAGAAAGGCATAAAATACCTGAATCAATGAAGAGACATGGTATGTTCCAGAATAAGAAGGCCCAGTCTTAGAAAGATAGACATTCTCTCCAGATTAACTCATACATTTACTACAATCTCAACTTGAATCAATAACAGAATTTTGTCGGGCTTGAGGAGCTGATCTTGAGATCACCTAAAGAAGAAACTGCAATTATGACAAAGTAATATTTGGGTTTTTGTTTGTTTGTTTTTGGTTTAGGTTTTTTTTTTTGACCATTTGTTTATTTCTTTTTTTTTATAAGGGTATTTATTTATTTTTTTTAAAGAGATTTTATTTTTATTTATTTGACAGAGAGAGACAGCCAGAGAGGGAACACAAGCAGGGGGAGCAGGAGAGGGAGAAGCAGGCCTCCCGCAGAGCGGGGAGCCCGATGCGGGGCTTGATCCCAGAACCCTGGGCTCATGACCTGAGCCAAAGGCAGACACTTAATGACTGAGCCACCCAGGCGCCCTGACCATTTGTTTATTTCTAAAACATGACTAGGGGACTTTTTT